ACAACCCTTTGAACAAGTTCTCTCAGCCAGTGCTGAGAATTGTCATTGCCATTGAAAACTTTCACGCGATATTTTTGAGATTGACTCTCATAGAAACCTTCGTCAAAACCTCATGCAGTTTATCGTCAATTCCAAAAATTCACCTGGTAGCAAAAATATAATTTGGTGCGTTCTTTAACACATTAGTGTTATCCAGGCTATTACGGACGTAGGTGCTTGTACACAGGGATGGATCGCTGTTTCTGGGCTTTTCAGTACTATTTATTAGATAATGATAACGTACAATCTAGTTGAATTTTCAGTTAATCCATCGTAAAATAGATAGTTTAATGCTATTAATATCGCTTTCAAAATCTTAAATGATAGTACCGTAGAGTCACACTACATGATTTCACTGAAGGAGCACGCGAGCACGTTCTTAATTGCGCCTTCAGTGAAAACATTTTAAATTTTGATAGAGTGATTAATAGCATTTAACTATCTAAGCACTATATTAAAACGTAACGAAAAAGTCCCTAAAGGGCGATCGATCCCTGCTTGTATACTTCGACTACTGTATATTATCACTGACAATTAACAGGATTTCCCTTGAAGATAATTATTGGCTCGAGTGAGTGACGAAAGCTGTGTTGTCAATATCGCCGAGTATGATCGATATCTGCCTAAGCTTTAAAAAAATGAGCTGAACTCAGTCCTTGGAATGATCTAAAGATTAGTTGCGAATGCATGCTTTAAATCGCGTGAATTCAGCAATAGACGTCAATGTTTATAAGAGCATTTGCACCAAGAGCTTATTCTGGCAAAAATATGCATCTTCGGCCAAAAAAATACTAATTCAGTCTTTAATAAACCATCCTTAACACATATTTTTTGAGAGAACATGAAATTGAAATGAAATTCCTGGATTTTTCCCGATTTATTTCCGGGAGTCCAACATTTTCCCTGGCTTCATATTAACTGCTCTAAATATGATATGAAAAAAAAATCAATTCCGCACTTGCTGTCAGGCTTGCTGAAACTCCTCAAACTCACCGGAGGGTTTAAAACACTCTTGTCCTGCTAGTTTAGCCAGCCCTCACCTCGAGTGAGTGGCGACAGGAATATGGAAGAAGTAAACAAAAACTCCTCGAGAGAGAGGGAGAGTGAACTTCAGCGAGGTGCGCTTTTCGAGACTCCGCATGACTTTTTTATTCGACGCAAGAAGCTCAGAGTTCACTCAGAGTGAGAATAAGAGCGTGTGATAGAAAACATGAACATGAATGGCAGCAAACCTCACTCTCATTTTATCCCCCTTCGCTCACCAGCACTGAAGCTCAGTGGAATGATTTGGCAGTAGGCATTCTACTCCTCAGAAAAATGCTAGGCTCGGCTCATTTCAAACTCGCGAGCGAGGCTCCATCAAGCCTGCTTGCTGTAACCAGAAAGAAAGGTACGGAATTTTGTTTTTAATGCAGAAAACCGGAGATAATCACACCCGCATTCAAGAAATCATATTAACTTTCAGAATTTTGATTGCAAACTAAAATTTGTGAAATTATGTTCCATAATTCAATTTTTGACGTCTAAAATTTGTAATGTTCTTACAAGTCTCAGAACTTTAATTTTATCCAAATGTAGTTGAAAACAATGAGATCTATGGAATAAAATTTGAATTCTCGAACTAAGAAAATTTATCATCGAAAAATGGGAAAGTTTTCAAGATGTTGAGGCTAGGCTATTTTATCACATTCTTGAACTTGGTGAGATTTTTACGATCAAAATTTGGTCAAACAAGAATACGTGTTAATGGTAATTAATTTTATTTTTTTATTTTTCTTTTTTTAAGCTCAATTAGTATAACATACAGAAAGAATATTCATCTAAGCTTCTGGTAAACCAAATCCGAATTACCGGGCCTTTTGTTTAACTCCTGCCATCAGATTCTGTACAGCCACCTCGTCCACTTTGTTCGCCGCAGAACACCTTAAACTGCTTCACGCTTCCAACAGCATTTTTTGGGTCTGATGCGGTGCTTCTCTTCTTCTTCTTCATTCCTTTATTTAACTTTGGTATCTGTCCCACAATCTAGCGCCAATCACCGACAGGCATCGATTGCCATCCATTGACGGCAATCGAATGTGCAGAAAGGCAGTTTCGACACCTGCGTAGGATGTCTCACCCATTCAACACAACATGGGCCGGGTCCAACTTGACCAGAGATTTTTATGCCTCAGAAAAATCCCATCGATCTCGGCTGGGATTGAACCCAGACCCATTGGGGTGAGAAAACTTACCACTACACCACCATTGCCGGCTAGGTTGCTCCTCTTGCTTGGATACCATTTTGATAACTGAAGAGTAAATGTCAAAATCAAATAAGAGGCATCATTCTGCACGCACACACCTTCAAAATGAGGGGTGCGTCAAGTTCAATATATTCATATTTTTGTTTGTTACACTCGTACTCAGATGTATAAAACAAATGATAGCTCTTAGACATGATACAATTTTTAGGATTATTACTTTTGGAGCATTGAATTATGATGAGGAATTCCAAGGATGATTCTAATGGAATTCGGGAGAAAATTTTGAAAAGTGTTTCAAGACAATTGTAAAGGTGAATGTCAAGCTAGTTCTGAAGTGGCTATTATGGGAGTTATGAATAAAATTGCATGGAACTCTAAAGCATATCTGATGGAATTTCAGGGAGCATTTTATGGGAATTCGGAGAAAAGAATTAACCTTACGACAAACTTTAAGATGATAGGATTACAATCCTGAAACTACGCGTAATGATCGCCTACTACTGAAAATCGCTTAAATGTTGATCAATAGTGAAATCAAAGTGAAATTCTGAGGAGAGTTGCAAGAGGATTTGGAGATTTTATTCCACTGTTGTTACAAGAGCCGCAGATATCGCGAATTTCGATTATATAATTATTTAATTATTTATGATAACTTTTAGGAATAATTGTCACGATTTTCCATTTATCGTGTATTATGATGTACAGAGCAGTGATGCCCAAGGTGATGCCAACATTCCAGTTTAAACTGGATTTTTCCAGTTTGTTTGGACGTTAGCCAATTCAAGCGCAACTATTCAAATCGTCGTATCTGCTTTTGTAAATAATCACTTCAATCGACGATTTGTCATAACTGCTAACTCTTCCACGCAAACACCATCAACAGGTAGGGAAATCTTTCCCTTTCTAGTGTGTTAGTTTCTGTGAGTGAGCTAGCAGTTGCCACAAATCGTTGATTGAAGTGATTGTTTACAAAATCAGATACGTCGATTTGAATAGTTACGCTTGAATTAGTTAAAGTTTGAAATCTTTCACTTTTATGAGAATTCATCCAGTTTTATCTAGTTTTACATTACTAATAGCAACATATTTTGAAGTATGATTACCAGTACAGAATGATTAATGCTTACTCTTTAAACTTTTATATTGGAATTTGCAATCTGGAAATGCAGTCTTTAGATTACATGTAATATAGCAATTGAAATCTACAAACATTCATGGCGACGCTACGATCAAGTTCACTTCACGGCATCAAGACAGGCGTGCTGTGTCATAGAATCGACACGCATTTTACTGGTTTGGAACACCTTTGGAAATTATGGCTTCAGATCTTCTTTATCTATTATAGTCTGGGGGGTAAATGAAGTCCTTCAGCTCTGATTTTTTTTGCATTAAGGTGCATCGTTTTCCAGAGCTAATCGTTTTACAAAAATTGAACACTCTACACACTTAGGGCCTCTCTTATCGCGACTACAAAGCAAGATTAAGGTGACTGGGCTTCGATTCCCGGTCTGGTGTAGGAATTTTTCGGGTTGGAAAATTTCTCGACCTCCCTGGGCATAAGGTATAATTATACTTGCCACACAATTATACTAATGCAAAAATGGTACAGGCATCGAAAGCTCTCAATTAATAACTGTGGAAGTGCATCTAGAACACTAAGTTGAGAGCACGCAATAAGCTAATATGCGATATACAATAAGCTTGAAATGCGAAGAAGAAGAAGAAAGAAGAACACAATTAGAAATGTTTACCGCAATATCGGAAGCTTAACTGTTCGGAAAAATGTGGGTAATTGTTTTAAAGCTATTTTAAAGCAAAATCTTCACTACAATTACAAGATTTATTCATTTGAACAAAAACGTGTTTTGAATTTTTTTTTTTTTCTTTATTAAAGAGACATTCAGCCTTGGGCTGGTTCGTCTTACGTGTTTTGAAATTATTTTTAAGCAAAAAAGGCTTTAAAATGAATATTTAAAAGTTTTACGGAACATTCAGCTGTTTCGGTAAAAAAAATACCGATTTCATTTACTCCCTGACGATAAGAAGGTAAAGAAGTGCCGCAGCCGTCATTTCCCCTATGTTGAAGTTTGTATTTTTAAGGGTTGAGAATTTCGATTGCTATGTCACATATATTTCTACACTAAATGAAGAGCTGTGACAGCTTTTGTGAAACTGCAGATCTGCATATTGATAGGCCAGCAGCGTGCAAAACCCGAACCAAACTGTTCCAACATCAACTACACCGCAGTGCCAACGGCGGTGACTCGACAGCATCTGCTGCCCATCGACCGTCCAATCGGATCGAAAAAAAAACCTGTTGCACATAGTTTTATAATTGGAGAATTTATGTTGCATTCTCTTGGCTGCTTCGAGGCGAACGAGGGGGTGACGTTTCGACCAACATTGAAGGGCTCGCAGCAATATTGGCTTCGATAAATAACTCAGCAGAGCCCCATTGTTGCTGCTGCTGCTGGTTTGGGAGAAATGGTTGAATGGAATGAAATTAGTTAATTTATGATAAAACCACTCTCGTGAAATGGAATGGTTTCGAATATTTATGCCACACAACTGGCGTGCGGTAGATGTTATCATGTTGATTTTAAATCGATCCATATTGGATAAATTTCAAAGCACCCACAACAAACTGCTCTTCCAATTAGTTCGCCAGATTTTATCGCTGTGTGTACTGAAAACCTTGAAATTGTTTCCCCTCAGATGACTCTACGTGCCGTGACGAGGATTTCACCTGGGTTAACAACCGTTCCGAAGCACCGAAAGCTACGATCGATTCGGACCGTCGATCGACTTCTCACACCACCATCGGGGGTCGATCAAGTCGAAGCCACACTCACGGCCATGAACCCAGCTTAAACCGTAATCTCCTGAGCCCGGTGCTGGCTCAACCGGGAGCTCTCGGCTGTGGCAAACCTCCTCGCCCCATGACGGGTAGTCTGGATAGAAGACGCCATCTAGGAGCGAATCGCCACGAGCGGGACTCCAAAAGTCGAAGCACCCACTCGCTCAAAGACAAGTTCTCTTCCTCCGAACTCCAACAACAGGACTCCCACTCCAGCAATCTGAGCTTGAACTCCAAAGGTAAATCCTCCAGCAAGCGATCGACCAGTGCGAAAGGATCGAATGATAAACTTTGGAATTTTCAAGAACACCACAATGACTCCGGAATCTACCACAACTACAACAGCAGTGGAAGTAGCCATCACCACCACCACAACAACCACAACAACAACAACAACAACATCAATAACAATGGTCAAAGGCAGAGCCCGGGGATATGGGAACCTCCACCGCCACCACCAGTTTCTCACTGGGATCCGCACTACTACTGGAACTGGAACAACCACCACCAGAGCCGAGAGGAGCTGCGGCTGATCGACTACCACCGCCGACAACAGGCGGAACTGTATCGCTACGGCAGCAACGGAGCCCTTAGCAGCACCCAGGACTTATCGTGCTCCAGTGGATGCTGCAATCGTGCTTACTACCCACCACAGCCACCGCCCTGTTGCTCTTGCGAGCACAGCCGACCCATGTGGGGCAAGGACTGTCAGGTTGGCACTATTAGAGTGAGAGCTTTGCGAAGAACCGTACCCTTAAATCGCTTGACATATTCTCCTATTTAGCAAAGATCACTGCCTAACATTGTTTTTCCTTCTGTTTTCTTCCACCGAAATAGCGTCAGGACACGGACGAGCGACTGCGCCGGTTGCAATCGGACAAGGAAGCCATGGCCCTGCAGGTCAAGGTACTGACCGAGCAGGTCCAGACGCAGGGCACCAAGATCGCCGATCTGGAGCGGACCGTCAGCGAGAAGAACCAGCTGCTCTCGAATGCGGACGACCTACTGCAGCGAGTAAGCCAATTTGCCAAAACCGTTGGCATCCAGATTGACAAACAGAAAGTACCGCGATTATATTTTTTTTTCAACACCCTTTTTGAGTTTACTTTCCTTTCTTGTAGTTTCCAAGTTTACGTATCTCTTCTTCTTGTTCTCTTGTTCATAGCACACTTGTTACGTTGAATTTTCGTTGTTTTCTCAATTTCACTTTCACTGGAACTATCCAGAATGTCTCTATCAGTGTTTTGCTGTAGATTTTAGATCATAAAATGTGCTCTGCATCTTTAGAAAGCATGTAGATGTTCCTTTATCGTTGATGTCGTCAGTAGAAGTTTGTCAGATGGTTGCCACGATAAGTACATTATATAATTTTTTTTCAAAATTTTCGACCCCAAACAATTAGCTTACTTCGTCATGAGGATCTTAACCATCTAACAAAAATCAATTTAGGGTGAATGTTGCATGACTGTATTTTAGTTGGAATGTTTGTTGCAAATGCACCCTAATACGCTCTCGTAGTTTGTATGATACTAACCTAGCATAACAGTAAGTTAACTCGAAGACAGCAAGTCAATAAGACTGGCAGCTCCGCTGTCAGAATCCACACCAGATCGGTCAAAACTGAACCTACCCAAAAATGGGTAAACTATGTTGGGAGTGACAAGTTGACAAATGAACAAAGTCGATCGGATTCATGTCGATGTTGTACATTTGTCACCTTGTCGATCCCAACATAGTTTACCAATTTTTTGGTAGGTTCAGTTTTACCGATCTAGGTGGATTCTACCCAAATTTGAGTAGTTTAGAAATAGCGTGTCAGTGACACGTACACACGACGAATAAGAAAGAGCCAAATTTGGGTTTAGTTTACTTATAAATCACATAAAGTTCAGGAACTCAGCGATGAATAAATTTGCTTCGTGTTTTTCCAGGGTTTTCTGGGTTTTTCGTAAATATGAGAAAAGTAAAGATTGGATTCACTCAGTATATTGGTACTAACGGGTGTTCAATAAAAAATGAGATTTTTTTTTCTGTCATATAACAGTAAAAAAAAATTTTCAACGAATTTAGTATTTTTTATTAAAAACATAATGTTTATTCTTCAAAAAAACGTCAATGAATATTGGAAAAGAAGCCCTGGTCAGCCGTACGACGCAACTTAGTCGCGATGCTCTCACAAGAGCGCTGGACATCATTCTCATTTTTTATTGAACACCCGTTACTCTTAGACTGCGTAAAATTTTCGTCAATTTTCCTTTTTTTCCGGCAGATTTTTTAGGTTTTCCACAGGAAAACATGAGGCAAATTTACTCATCGCTGAGTTCCTGCACTTTTGGCGATTATGAGTGAACTAAACTCCAATTTTGGGTGTTCTCATTGGCCGTGCAGTAGCGCTGCGTTAGAGCAAAGGTAGATCCTCCGCATCGGAAAATCAGCAAATAAACTAACCTATCAAATTCGATCGGAACTTTCACCTTTGAGTAGCAGGGTTGCTTCCACTGACTTGCTATACAAAAATGATTTTCGGAATTTTTAAATCATTAGATGTTATAAATAAAAAAAATTACTTGTTAGATAAAAGAATATAATGAAAGGCAAGTGTTTGACACATAAAACCTATCAGTTTCGCATTCAAAGTGTCACAATCAGCGATTTTATTATTCGTGAGCGTTCACTGTGAGTGAGCGCTCGCGAGTCGCAAAATCGCTAATTGTGACTATCTGCAAGTGAATTTGACAGGTTTTATGTGTCAAGCACTTGCCTTTCAACCTCTTATTGTATCTAATATGTACAAAATATAATTATAACATCTAATGATTTCAAAATTACTAAAACCATTTTTTATAGCAAGTGAGTGGAAGCAAGCCTGTGGAGTAGTAGATGGCGAAATTGTGAAAAGGAATCTTACTCAGCGAGTGAGTCACTTTTACTTATGGAGTCCATTCGAAAAGCGAATACAATATATCAACTTTTCCATTTTCTCGTACGACCGCTATGAGACAGGTACAATTGCGTCATCTGTCACTCAAAGGTAAATGCTTCGAACGAATTTGATAGCAAAGATTACATCCTCAGAAGAAAGGTTTGTGTATTTGCTCATTTTTCTATGCGTTGCTTCCACCTTCGCTCAAGTGCAGCGCTACTGTCTCTGTCGCTTGGATCCTGGCAAAGTGGCCAGTCTTCAGACAGACAGACAGACAGACAGACAGACAGACAGACAGACAGACAGACAGACAGACAGACAGACAGACAGACAGACAGACAGACAGACAGACAGACAGACAGACAGACAGACAGACAGACAGACAGACAGACAGACAGACAGACAGACAGACAGACAGACAGACAGACAGACAGACAGACAGACAGACAGACAGACAGACAGACAGACAGACAGACAGACAGACAGACAGACAGACAGACAGACAGACAGACAGACAGACAGACAGACAGACAGACAGACAGACAGACAGACAGACAGACAGACAGACAGACAGACAGACAGACAGACAGACAGACAGACAGACAGACAGACAGACAGACAGACAGACAGACAGACAGACAGACAGACAGACAGACAGACAGACAGACAGACAGACAGACAGACAGACAGACAGACAGACAGACAGACAGACAGACAGACAGACAGACAGACAGACAGACAGACAGACAGACAGACAGACAGACAGACAGACAGACAGACAGACAGACAGACAGACAGACAGACAGACAGACAGACAGACAGACAGACAGACAGACAGACAGACAGACAGACAGACAGACAGACAGACAGACAGACAGACAGACAGACAGACAGACAGACAGACAGACAGACAGACAGACAGACAGACAGACAGACAGACAGACAGACAGACAGACAGACAGACAGACAGACAGACAGACAGACAGACAGACAGACAGACAGACAGACAGACAGACAGACAGACAGACAGACAGACAGACAGACAGACAGACAGACAGACAGACAGACAGACAGACAGACAGACAGACAGACAGACAGACAGACAGACAGACAGACAGACAGACAGACAGACAGACAGACAGACAGACAGACAGACAGACAGACAGACAGACAGACAGACAGACAGACAGACAGACAGACAGACAGACAGACAGACAGACAGACAGACAGACAGACAGACAGACAGACAGACAGACAGACAGACAGACAGACAGACAGACAGACAGACAGACAGACAGACAGACAGACAGACAGACAGACAAGACAGACAAGACAGACAAGACAGACAAGACAGACAAGACAGACAAGACAGACAAGACAGACAAGACAGACAAGACAGACAAGACAGACAAGACAGACAGACAGACAGACAAGACAGACAAGACAGACAAGACAGACAAGACAGACAAGACAGACAAGACAGACAAGACAGACAAGACAGACAAGACAGACAAGACAGACAAGACAGACAAGACAGACAAGACAGACAAGACAGACAAGACAGACAAGACAGACAAGACAGACAAGACAGACAAGACAGACAAGACAGACAAGACAGACAAGACAGACAAGACAGACAAGACAGACAAGACAGACAAGACAGACAAGACAGACAAGACAGACAAGACAGACAAGACAGACAAGACAGACAAGACAGACAAGACAGACAAGACAGACAAGACAGACAAGACAGACAAGACAGACAAGACAGACAAGACAGACAAGACAGACAAGACAGACAAGACAGACAAGACAGACAAGACAGACAAGACAGACAAGACAGACAAGACAGACAAGACAGACAAGACAGACAAGACAGACAAGACAGACAAGACAGACAAGACAGACAAGACAGACAAGACAGACAAGACAGACAAGACAGACAAGACAGACAAGACAGACAAGACAGACAAGACAGACAAGACAGACAAGACAGACAAGACAGACAAGACAGACAAGACAGACAAGACAGACAAGACAGACAAGACAGACAAGACAGACAAGACAGACAAGACAGACAAGACAGACAAGACAGACAAGACAGACAAGACAGACAAGACAGACAAGACAGACAAGACAGACAAGACAGACAAGACAGACAAGACAGACAAGACAGACAAGACAGACAAGACAGACAAGACAGACAAGACAGACAAGACAGACAAGACAGACAAGACAGACAAGACAGACAAGACAGACAAGACAGACAAGACAGACAGACAGAAATTCATATATGTATATTAGACTGCCAATGAATGTATGGGAAAAATTTGACCATCAAATTTCGCTAACAAACCATATACAAAATGACCCTATGCAAAATTTGAGCTCAATCGGACATGATTTAGGGGTGGCGCAAACGCGTCAAAGTTTGACTTTTTTCACTCTCGAAAATCTCCCAAGGGGGGGGGGGGTAGGGGTACATGAAATTTCGGAAATCAAAAAAAAATTTTTTTGATTGCGAATGTCCTAAAAATGCATGAAACGTCAAGATTTGGTGTTATCCCTAAAAAAAATTTTTTTTCAAAAATCGACTTTCTGGGACTTAGAATTTTTTTCATGAGTTCTATATGGAATATAGAAGATTGATGAGTCGGCTTCTAAAACTGTTCACAATGGATCACATCATTCGAGCAGTTTAAAATGACGTTTCCTACCACTCGAACTTTAACGTGGAACAATATTTTCTACAACCTCGAGAAAATAGGGTCTTATTTGTTATATGCTTGAAAAATCTGGAATTTATTGTTTCATTTCCGTAAAATCGCTGGTAGAAGGTTGTCCCAAAACTGCTCGACAATATGATTAATTGTCTCCAACCTGCTTATATATCGAATTAAACCACCATTTAGGATCTAATACGAAATAATTCACTAGGGTGGTCCAATTATTCTTCATTAGGGTGGTCCAAAAATTCAAAAATATATGAAAAACCACAAATTTTCATCAGAAATTCCTAAAATCAATTGTAAAAATATCTTGAATTGCGTTAATCTGTTTTTTTGGGAATCATGAGTTTTACACAAGAGGAACATTTGCCTGAAAAGATGAAAAAATACTTGTTTTATACTTTCCCATA